CATGTGAATATGTGTGGAAATTAATGTAATGACTCAAGGCATGTCATACCATAGCTACCGGTATATAGCTGCATTTGTTAATGCAAAGTTAAAACTATTTTTAGTTTCAATAGATATAAAACATTATGATATGATTATGTACAATGTACATGTATATACCAAGTTTAAACAATAGCTGTCCATGTATGACTGAAATCTGTATTTAGAGTGGCAGAAATGCTCGATTTTGATTCATTTTTAAAATTAAATTAAAATGACTATTTGGCAGTCTTGAAACTGATCATCAAACAAATAAATGTGTATGATGTATATATCAAGTTTGAACATAATCAACTATAGAATGTCATAGATATGGCTCTGGAATACCATTAATTAAAATAAAATGGATGCTAGATGGCCATTTTGAATACAATTTGGAAAACCTAATGATGTGTATCAAGGTCACATAATGACCTATGTATGTACCAAGTTCGAATAAAATCCATCCAGATTGATCAAGATTATGTTTTTTTTAATTCAACACAAAAATGGCCGAGATTCCGCCATTATAAAATGGATTGTGAAAAGGATGAACTCGTATCAGTGTCTAAATATGTGTCATGGAAGTGTGAAAGGGATTAGGCCAGGCATATCAAGGATCAGCTGGGCATGCAAAGAAGCAACACAGCGGTCAAACTTATAAAACATGCTTTTGTAACAAGTGGAAACTACTTACATTGGTGTAAATAAATTCAATGATTCCATTCCACTCCCCAGAAAATTTACATATGACTCTGTTTGTTTGAGTATGTTTCACTTCTCCACTTATCCTATGCACCTTACCACCATAGAACGGCTACAGACAAAAAAAAAAGGAGGGGTGTAATTTTTGAATGATTACATCACAATATTCACATAATTTAACATAAATTCTTTCTCTGATATTTGATTATTTAAAGGAGAGCTTACTATAAGGGCAGAAATTCCTACACATATAGCAACCAACATAGTCAGTTATATGCAATTTGCTGATATTACAAGTAATGTCCGCTTTAGAAAATTATTATATTTTTATTGTACCATTAAATGGGAGGGGCAGGGATCTTGAATTTTCAAGATATAATGTATCAGCTTTACTGCCGCCACATATTACCTTATAAGAAAGTGATGTATGTCAGTTGCGCCACCGCATTTGAAATAGAGAAATGTTCAGCCAATCGGATTGCCTCATCTGTCCAGCATACAATACAATAGCAAATTGTGGAGTTTGGGATATTTATTAAAAATTACTGTATAAGATTACATAACCAGTGACTGTCAATTTGTCAACCACTGTTGACATTTCTTTCCCATGTTTGATACAGATCAGGACAATTTAATAAACTAAATGTTTGTGTCATACTGCTGTTTTTGGTGATGGGTATCAATGGCGTCTCTTCTGACATGAAAGTTGTGAAAAATCTTGTCTGAACTTGGTCAGTGGCTTGGACCACCCTACTAAACAACCGTGACTAAAAAAAAAATGGTCCACTGGTACAGATGTTCTACCCTGGGTAAATTTTAAACTTTCTCTCAAGGACATTGGGAGAGGTTGTCAAGTGAACACTCTTTGCTATAAGAACAAAACATGAGGTTACCTTAGTATGAAATGTAACGGATGCAGTATAACCAGTTTTGGCACACGCAATATTGACTTTACCACCAAGTTCCATCCATGGTACTGTTAATATATTCCTTCCATAAGCACTTGGTAATGTGTATGAGTATTCTTCATCATGTTCCAAGTCGTATATTATACCTACAAGTGAGAAAAACAACATGTACAGACATTGACAGTGGTTGCTACTCATATAGTACCCATACTGTACAATTCCAGAATGATAATGAATCCTGACGAAATGGTCGTTGTTTGTCTTCACGAAAAGAATATAAACAAACGAGCATGAGCACGCGTGCATGCATGCATGCGCACACACACACACACACACACGTCTTTCCATCGATGTGATGACATGCATTGAATTAACTTTTAATACAGTTACATTATGTTTCGATTAAAATGCAACTTGATATAGGGTTGCGATTTACTTGGAGTTTAATTAAAATCAATAACATTGGCAATATAGAATTGCGTTTTAATGTAATTAAATTAATGTTTTAGTGTAATTAAATAAAAATATTATCATACATCCAGTAATATTATTATTACCAGTTATGAGTAATATAAAGTGTACCATATCTTCCCCCTTGACTAAACCAAAACGCAAACTTGACTTAAATTTCAATTAAATATTAATATAAATTATAAAAAATAGTGAGGGTTGTCACATGGTAGGTTTGTCATCACTTGGTAAGTGTAAAGTTAAATGGAAGTCAACACTACATTGATTTGAAGATAAACGTATAACCTTAGAGAAGTCAGTTCGTTCAGTTCTAAGTGGAAAAGAAAAAGCATGGCAAAAACATCACATGTATTATGAAAATGGCAAACATCAGTGATCTACAAACTATGATGAATTTATTGTATCAGGTTCATAATTTAATACCATTTTATTATCATGTGATAAGAGCAAAAGGAATATCAGATCACCTCATGTGTATTTTAACCTTTTCGAGCGCATTTTTTCCCTACCAATATTGTGGAGCAACATTTTTCCTATTTTGAAACAAATGTACATCGTTTTCTATTACCTAAAAGTCTTGATCAAAATTTTGAAAAAAAAAAAAATTATCAGTTTTATTTTGTGAGTTATGTCAAAAGCCGACTTTGTCATTCAAAGGGTTTAACTTGTGGGAAGCATAAAAAGGGAAACAACAGATCTTGCAACCAAAAGTAAGACGCATTAAAATAATTCAGCTTATATGTAGTCCATGTGTAAATAGAAAATAAATCACATAAAAAATCTATTTGCACATTTCTATTTTATAATATACCAAAAGATTAGATATTTAAATAATCACCTTCTCCTACATTGACCACACCAACTGACATGCCCAGAAACTTAGACTTGGTCCACACCCAGGTGTTCATACATATATTTTTACTAGCACACTCTGCATAAAAAGCTGAAACTAAACAAGAAAATAATAATATGTACAAGCAATTAGGTTTCATCATTTCAATATCGATATAAATCAAAGACTCCTGATTTGGTCGGGAAAAGTTCAACGCCCTTACCTGGTGGATGATGGGATACTTGTTCTGCTACGTATGTCACTCTGTCAACAGGTAGACTGTTCTCTGACTGGTTGTTTTTGGCACTGCCATTGATAGTCCCATTCACTGAATGGCTAGTGTGTTTATTATTGCTCTCTGGTAGACAGTTATAGCCCTGAACTACATCCCACGAACAGTGGAAAGTTTCTCCAATGATAGGATTGTATGGTTTCTTGGCGATAGAACCCTGGTAATAAATCCAAGATAATAACACTGTAAAAACATCTACAGCACAATTCGAGCATAAATTAAAGTGGGGAAGTCGTTATCTGCACATGTGGCAAATGACCATAGCATGTCGTTGTTTACAAACATGCGTCTACCCATAAGTCTTTGCATTTTTAGCGTGTGTTGTTATCATTGCTTGGAACTCAATTTCCACACATACGTAGATGACACCCCTCCACGTTAACATTTAGCTATGTTTCAGCTGGCTTTATAAATAACCTTTTCACCCCCAGACTTTCTCGCCCAAGTTTTTCTGCACTTTTTTCTTACATTCTCAAATACTTCTGCAAACAGAGCTTACAGACAAGATTTGGATCAATTATCAGTATTTACTCAAACAATTCAGCTACTTTTGTCCTAATATTCTGACTGAAGTGCAGACTATAAACAGAACTATTTTGTGATGAAAAGATGGAACTGGTGGTAAAAAGGTTTAATTGTAGCAAGTACTCTGCATGAATACAAACACTACAAGGAATAAGTTGAAATTATTGATGACAACATTAATCACTTGCATTTTGTGCTTTAAAATGAAATTCTTAGCACTTGTAATAAACTTTCAAATTTTACATCATAGGCCGAAAAAACATTGTTATCGTGAGGCTCAAAACTATAGTAACATATGGTTTTTTTTTCAACTTGCCATCAAAATAATTTTTTTTTTTTAAACAAATATACAAACAGAATGTGATGTCCACCTCTGAAAGTGACGCATTTTTTTTTAAATTGAATTTACTTGTCAACGAGTGACACCGGTAATAATCTCACAACACCATTGTTAAAAAGTCTTAGAGAAAACACTAATACGTAAAGATTTTACTGTCAGTAACATTTTAACCCCCACCCCCTAAAAAAGAATTTGTTCTAACACGAGAAATATATCACTTTAATAGATGAAACAATTATAACTGAAGAACAAAAATAAAACAGTATGTGTATGCTAGGTTGGATCACAGTTGAATGATATAGATGACACACGTACATAACTTGTATATACCTTTCAACTGTATACTGTGTCTATCATATCTCGCATGTCATTCTGAGCCCAAAATACATTATGTACTCTTAGCCCACAATTGTGATGTCACACTATCTTCTCCCGTGAGTATTTCATAAACTATACCCCCAACAGCAATGGAACATCCCTGTGTCATTTTGTGTCAAAGGGCATTTGGCAAAGAAGAACCATTATTACTGTTCAACTGGTGGTGTTCTGATGAAAGCTCAACTTTGCCTTTAAACATTTGAGTGGCGTATTTAATTAGTGTCAACATTCATAAATTTTAAACCAACATAATTTCTCCCATAATTTTCCAAAATTTTTGACTCACAGCCATTAAGAAATAATGTGCATTTGATCAAAAATAATATGAAAAAACAAGTCATTGAAAATGACACAGTCCCCGTTAAGTTCTCTTTGTGCTCGTCATATTAAAGCGGAGGGGTTGTCGCGAGCATGTCCTTGAAACTTGAGTTCCAAGTGGCATATACAACAGATTGTTTATTTACATCAAAACACGTGTTTCGTGTCATAGTAATATGGCCAAAATAAAAACAGTCGTTATTCAGCCATCTTTGATCTGATTATGAAACACACTGATATGTATGATGTATGTGCCAAATACGAATGAAAATGGTACATAAATTGTGGAAATATAGTAGTAAGGCCAAAAAGTCAGATGGCTGTCAATCGGCCATCCTTGACCAGATTTTGAAACGAA